ATAGATAGATAGATAGATATTAATAAAAATGTATCAGTGACTGTGAGTTTTGCAAAACTTGTCATAAGAATATTTTACTAGTGTTAATGTTAACCCCACCAAGAATATTTAAATACACTGAACCATGTGTTCAGCTTTAATGGCTGTACGTCTAAGATTTACAGAGGACAAAATTGTGAGAATGAGTTTAGCATTCAGCTATGACTGATTAAACACGCAGATACTTCATTGTTCCTGTCAAACAAGTTACACTGAGTGGAGCGGTCGACCGTATGCTGTATCAATGCTGTCTCTAGTGTTTATATCTATGGGTTTAACACTACCATTGGAAATGAATGGGAAATGGTTTAGGGCGGTTTAGCTAAAGAATTCACGATGCCCGCGCGGGCTGAGGAAGTCCAGTTCGGTGGCCTCAGGATTTCATCTCTGCTCTTTGCAGATGATGCAGTCCTGTTGGCGTCATCGTGCCGTGATCTTCAGCTCCCACTGGAGCAGTTTGCAGCAGAGTGTGAAGGGGCTGGGTTGAGAAGCAGCACCTCCAAATCTGAGGCCATGGTCCTCAGTTGGAAAAGGGTGGATTGCCCTCTTCGGGTCAAGGGTGAGGTTCTGCCTCAAGTAGAGGAGTTCAAGTATCTCAGGGTTTTGTTCACGAGTGAGGGAAGAATGGAGCGTGAAATTGACTCGTCTGCAGTATTGTGGATGCTGTACCGGTCTGTTGTGGTGAAGAGAGAGCTGAGCTGTAAGGCAAAGCTCTCTGTTTATGTTAGACTAGATAAGCCCCTATCTGAGAGATCTTGAACTCACTCTTCTGGGAAAGTTTTTCACATGTATCGGTGAAAATTGGAGACATGGAATCTTCATGGCCATGTCCAGGGCCTCTGTTGTTGGTTTCCAGGTGCTGTGGCCTGAAGGTCATTGGTGCTTGTCATGGCTACTGAAGGGGGGACTCATGAAGCAGCTGACCGGTACATGGTGGTCAGAAGGACTGCAGCTTCTGTGGTTGCAGATGCATTGGAGGAATTTGGAGCGGCCATGGAGAAGGACTTATCAGGTTATGGCAAACTTTCCGTGATTCGGAAAAGAAAAGCAGGCCTCATCCCCAGCTGTGAATGGTGGGTTGGAAACTGTTGACCCAGACTGGGGAAACTGTGGTAGGGCTCCAAGGGTGTATGAAATTAACATGTATCCTGAGATTCTGTTGGCATTCGATTGTAAAAAAAAAAAAATTAGAAATTGAAAAATGTGTAAAATTCGATTGTATTTTATTTTTACCTTTTCTCCACATTTGAGTTACCAGATGTACTTCCTTTTTCTTCGATTTGACGTTTTTTAAATGTTTCCTCATTTCCCCATGGCTTAAGTGGTGCAGGCAATCATTACTGTATAAGTTTAATGACCAGGGGTCCACAACCTGTGGTTCTGAGCTGAAAGAAACTGGGCAAGAGAACTGCAACATTGTTGTAATTCTAAATGTATTTGATGTTGTTTTGTTTTTTGGGTCAAAGCTACAAAGAACCGTTGCAGAGAAAACCAAAGAGGCACGAGCTAAAACAAGCATTAGGTAAAATGCAAACGTAGCAGAACACTAGCTAAAATTTACCAGACATTAGCTAAAAGTACAAAAGGCTAGCTAGTGTTCAAAAAGTCCAGGTAAAACCCTAAAAACTAACAAAAGGATGGCAAAATGATCAAAGTATCATCAGAATGGGAGCAAAAAAGTAAAAATTGCACAAGAAGACAAAAATAGATCAAGAATTCTGAATAAAAAAAACAGTTTTTGAAGGAACTGGAGATTAACTCTAAATTGTCTCTAGGTGAGAGAGAGAGAGTGAATGGTTGTTTGTCTCTATGTGTCCCTGTGATGGACTGGAGACCTGTCCATGGTGTCCCCCACCACTCACACAGTGATGGCTAGACATGGGCACCAGTGACCCCCGTGACCCAAAAAGGAAGAAGTGGGTAAAGATGATGGATGGAACTGAAGAGTTCTCAGTGTGTTACTATGGAGAAAGTTTTACAAATAAAGTTAACAATTTAAAAGTGTCAAAGTTACACAAACCAAAAGTTTAGAACATTTTGAGAAATGAGTGATTATCATAGACTATGCAGAAGGAGTTAGAATAGATTGCAGAAAATGCACAGAATAAAATACAAGTCAATAATAGTGTGAATGTCATTCGTGCCACCAACATGTCTCTTTCAGAAAGCCTGTTCCTGCAACCCCTGCCTCGGTGGGTTAGCCCACTGCATGACAAACTGCACATGAGCTGGGAGCTGCCGTCTCACTCGGCTGCAGGGTGTGGGCACAAATGGCTGGCTGGGGGGGCTTCTTCATTTCACTCCTCAACTACAAGACAGAGAAGTATGTCATTGCTGAAAACAGAAGAATTGGAATATTATTCCGGCTCTATCAGCTGGCCGTGCTGGGATACATAATCGGGTGAGATCCCTTGCATGCCCCCCACCCCTGATCGAGTGCATGGAGTCAAGACATTGAGAGTGAATCACAAAGTTAAAAATAGTGGAGAGCTTGTGGAAGGGTTTTGTTGCTTGTGGTGTTAAAGTAGTGCCATAGATTTGTTTTATCACTCCAGGAGCAGTTTGTTGTGTAAAGAGTCATCTTGTTTTGTGAAGTCATTGATGATGTATGTATTCCACTTTTCATTTTGTAATGACGACTGATGCAATCTGCTGTCAAACGGAAAAAAACTGAGCAAAAGTGTTGCATGAAAGTTAATAACACTGATTTGACCGAATGTAAAAGTTACCGCAAAGTATAAGAAGGCAAAAGGATCATCAGGACTGTAGAGGCTGTAAAGTCTTATTTTGCTCGGTGCTCGTCTCATGTTCATGCTTACTGTTTTAATTTCCATGCTACTCCTGAGACTGACACGTGTGTGTATGTTCAAAAATACCCACAGCATGGACACAGTCATGGGAAAGAGACTGTCAGGGTTTTATGTGTCAGGGCATAAAAAAGTGGTCTGAGCTCTGCAGGTTCTAAAATTATTCAAATCTAACTAAAAGTGTACAAATCACACAACAAATCTCATCATGCATTTTTTTTTATTAAACTAGAAAGTTCCTGGAGAAATTTTCATGGGGACTGCCACGTTGCAGCCATTTTAAATTTTTGATTTGACAGTACTATTGTTGAGGTTCGCTCTCTGCTACCATCACACCAAATTTCAGTTTTATATCTCTAAAAATGTCCGATTTGTAGTATTTTTCCTTTTTTCATTCAACCTTTATTTAAACAGATAAGTCACATTGAGCCTCGAAGACTCATTTACAAGTGACCTGTTTGGACAGACAATAAAAAGTGGTGAAAAATGACACATAGGGTTTGGAGACAAAAATAATTCCTAACATGCTCTTAATCTTTGGCTGAAGGTTAACAGCATGATAATGAAAATAAAATCTTGCACAACGAGCACATGTTTACACGACATTCCGTGAGGGGTGGGGGGGAAGAAAGGGGGGTGAGCATGTCCAGAGACAACACACAGAGGCACAGGTGGCCATCTTGGATTTTTATTTGGAATCAGAGTTTATTAGGGATTATTCTCAGCTACCAAATTTCTACTGAATAGCTCTGAAAACCTCCGAGTTATATCCATTGGAATAGCTTTGGTAGCCATCTTGCATTTTTAGATTTGAATTTAGAATGTGTTGTGTATCTCTGTCAGCTACCACCACACCAAGCTTCAACTCATTATCTTTTAAAATAGCTGAGTTATCGTATTTTTCCGCTTTTAGCTAAGGCGGCCATCTTGGATTTTTAATTTGTAATAGGCATGTATAAGAAGTCGCTCTCAGCTACCATCAAACCAAATTTCAGCTCAGTATCTCAAAGGATGACTGAGCTGTCAGTTTTGAGTTTTCTGAGTTAGCTGTGGCAGCCATCTTGAATCAAAACAACCTTCACGCGATGTGACCTCACTGTCAGTTAGAGGCTGTGAAGAGTTCTGTCACTAACCAGCACAGAGTAATATTGTGTATGCTGTTCAGTGTCAGGAGGGCTGTAATCAGTCTTACATCGGGGAAACTAAACAGCCACTGGCCAAAAGGATGGCCCAGCACAGAAGATCAACAACATCAGGCCAGGATTCTGTGGTCTACACTCATCTCCAGGCCAGCGGTCACTCTTTCAGGGATGAAGATGTTCACATCCTGGATAGAAAGGAATGATGGTTTGAGAGAGGAGTAAAGGAGTCCATCTTTGTGAAAAGAAACCATCCATATTTAATGGGGTGGAGGCCTCTGTGTTCAACTGTCCCCCTCTTACAATGCTGTTATTGCTAGTATCAATCAGCCCCCTGTGAATAGTAAACAGCCGTCAGTGTGCTAATGATCCATCGTTAGGCTGATGGCCCTTCTTGATCATGTGAGCAGCTGGTTTTGGTTGTCAGCAGCAAACTGGTTGATCCACTACAAGACGGTGTTATTTATAAGACTGAGCTGAATACAGGACCTCAGACTGAGGAAGTCTTTCAGATGAAAGACGAAAAGTTTCTACACATTTTTTTGGTTTGTTTTGCTTTGTTTTGTTTTTTTTAACGTCCAGAGGACCAGACTTAACTTTTTTAGAGTTCTGTCAATGTTTTTCAATGAGAAAAATGCCTGTTTTGTTTGCAAATTACGTCGCCATGGTAACTCGAAACGCCATTTAAAGTAACGGCACACATCACGGTGCTGAGCCGGTCGTTTGGGTATAAAAAATTTTGGGGTACACGTTGTGAATCAGACCTCATTAAAGTTGAAGGACGAGTAAGACCCTTTTCAGGTGGATAATAATAGGTGGCTGCCTTTCAAGGCAGTCCCCAACAACAGCAAAGTTACATTTAAAATATCAGTGTGAGCAAAATTTAAGTTCACCCCAAATTGAGCGCCTCCTTTGGCAGCAGTATCTCATTAGTTTTTTTTATTATATATAGCCTTATGAATCTAAATGATTGTTGAGGAATTTTGGCCCATTACTTTTTACAGTGTTTCAGTTCATTGAGCTTTGCAGATGTCTGTTTCTGGACAGCTCTTATAAGGATGTCTGCCAACGTAGACGGACGAAGCGTTTCTGTCTTCTCTGGTTGTCCCACACTGAAACCAAATTGTCTGTATTTTTGGGAGCTGCCATGTTGGATTTTTGGAGTCAGAGTTTGTTCACTAGTGAAGTGGAGCTGTGCCCTTTTACCCCTCGTCTTAACTCACTAACAGACTGTGACACTGTCAGCAGGGTAACATGACACTTTTTAATGCCTCAAATAAATGATTGAAAATAAGCACACTGAAAAAAAAAGAAGAAAAAAACGTAACTGAACATTCAGCAGCAAAATAAGAGCTTCATGAATCATCAAAAATCATGCCTTGAAAAATAATGTCTGAAGTTAATTTTTATTTTTATTTTATTTGTTTGCATGGAGGGGCAGGACAACAAAACTGTATTGCGACCAGCCATTAAAGGCCGCACTCGTCATTTGTGGCTTTACCTTCAGTCTTCCAGTTGTGTCTCCAGTCATGAAATATCTCCAAGGTCACACCACAGCGTTTCACTCAAGATTTATGGACTTTGAATGCATCATTTATGATTGTTTTTCATATTTTTTGTTGTAGTCTACTTGCTGTTTTGGGATAATTTTTCTGTTCAAGGTTGTTTATTGTCATTTGCATCACATGTGGTACATGAGGTGGAACGAAATTGTGTACTCAGGGTCCCAGATGCATCCAAAAAATAGCAAAAATATAAAGTATAAAAGAAGAAACACTATGCAAGTATCTAAGATATACAATAAGAATAATGTATGCTAAACAATAATAATATAATGTAATACAGTGTATTAAACAGCAGATTGAACATGAGTCTGTGAGCATATGGGTATGAATTTAGCAGCTTAAAGGCAAGAAATTAACAGCACAGATAAAGTGACATATCACCAATTTGAAGTGTCATTACAGTGAATATCCTCGTTAGGGATTAATGAGTCTTAACAGCTTCAGGGTAGAAGCTGTTCCTCAGTCTAGTGGTTCTAAACTTAATGCTCCTCAACCTCTTTCCTGAGGGGAGCAAGGCAAAAAGTTTATGCTGGGTCTCTATTCTGGGTTTATGCTTGAGTGAGGCCCTTCATGATGCAAGTGGCTCTCTTCCTGCATCTGGAGGTGTAAATGTCTGTGATGGTGGAGAGACTGACTCCAACATCTTCTGTGCAGCCTTCACCACTCTCTGCAAAGCTTTTCTTTCTGCAGGTGTGCAGCCTCCATGCCACACGTTGATGCTGGAGCACAGGATGCTCTCCACTGCACACCTGTAGAGGGAGGTGAGGACTGAGCTTCCAGACCAGCTCGTCTCAGCCGCCTGAGGAAGTAGAGTCTCTGATGAGCTTTCTTGATCAGGCTGGTAGTGTTGTTGCCCCAGCTGACATAGTCATTCAGGTGCATACCCAAGTACTTGTAGCTGGAGACCACTTCCAC